TTCAGATTCGATGAACTTAGATATTATAACTCAAGTTGGGCTGTTCTTGTGTGTAATCCTATAGGCCCATATGAAATTGACAGTAGACTAACTACGCTATTAGCCCACAAGTCACAAGTGGTTTCTAGCAAATATTGCAACTACTTAATTCACATAGAGATCGACGATCCAATATAACTTATTATGCAATCATATCACATCCTTTTTGTCACGCAAATATTTCGGTCAAGTATGAAACGTGAAATTGTCAAAATTATCCTACCAAAAATATACATACCATTCAATAATTTTTTTAAGCTTCCAATTTCTTACCCAATAATTTCTAACATCAATATTTAAATTTCTAACACTTTTCAAACCCATCTCCCATCAAGAAACAACTTAAGCTCGGATAAAATCTCAAGCCCACTTCTATCCTTCTCAAGCATCAACCAAACCATTATAAAATCATATATCCAAAATCATGCGCTTAAAATTTGATTTTCAGCTTCGTTAGATCCTAATTTCCTCCTCATTGACGGGCATCAAGCAAGCAAAAGGATAAATTTTAATTTTTTTATTTATTTTACAATAGCCCCTACTCAATATTATTTCTGATGGTTGAGAATGTGGAATCAAAGGTCTTCGGCTGTTATGGTGTTGCTCGATGCTTGCGCATATCATTTTTAAGTACTACGAAGTCAATGACCATGTTCCACGTGTCACGAGGTTTGCCTACCTTATCCTTTTGATGAAGACAAGACACTGCATTTTATCATTCTATGTCTAAATGGGACAAAAGGCGACACCAAGACAACATGATATTTTCATACATACTCACGCTAGCTTGTTTGACAAGCTATGAATCTATATTAAATCATTAGAATGTTGTTAGACTATGTTTCCATCAATGAATCTATGTACCAAAACAATCTATGAATCTAAGAATCTATATTAATCTTCCTGTTTTGTAATCCCTTGATCACCGAAAATATGTATATCAATAGAATGTTGCATTTGATATAAGCCATGAACATAGCTACATTGCGCACCCTATACTTTGTGCAATGTAGCATAGTACACGATTGTACTATTGGAAATGGATCCTTTAAAATTGGGAATCCGTGAATTTGACAAATTAAGTTTATCTTTTTAAGTAGTAAGAGAGATTTAATTCTATGTTTAATAAAAAATAATGAAATGGAAAAAATATCAAAAAAAGGGGAAAAATCACATAAATTCATGGATCTCAAATTGAGAGAATTTGCTCCTACATCATGTTGTTTCTTTCCCTTAACACCCAAAAAAATAACAAAGAAAACACCCCCACTTTCATCTACTCACACACCGACACCGACACACTAAACGTTCCTTCCATCTATCCCCTTAGTGACTAATTTCCTTTTTACCTCTTTATGTTACGTTTTTTAATTTTGTATCCATACTTAAAATTTTAGTATTTACAATCGGTTCCTTTCGGCGCACATGGTATGTGTGGCATGTGTATATCGTTTTTATGGGATCTGACTCGTACGAATCCAATTTAAAAAGTACTATGACTAACATTTGTATTTGCCATTTTTAATTTAGACTCCATTTTACTTATATGTAAAAGTCACTTCTAATCATTTTACTGTAACCAAGAATACTTAAATCATTGGTCTTATCTAAAAATTATGGGTCTGTTTGATTTTTGTTTTCAAAAAATGGTTTTCCATTTTTTAAAAACTAAAAAATTTTAAAAACTCATTTAAATAAATGTTTTGGATTTAAGAGTTTTAAAAAATGTTTTTATTTTTTTAAAACAAAAAATGAAAATATCTCTGAGTTATTTTTGTTCTCTGCTTTTATTTTTAAAGCACACTATATTGGACTATTGTAAATTATCTTCAGATATGATCAATCACTATCATTAACAATTATTATTAACCACTAGCGACCAGTAGCCCTTTTTGTTCTAAAATTGTATTTAAATTAACATATATCAAACATTAGATTTTCATGTTGCTTTGTTTTGAAAAACACTTTTTAAAGATTATTTTATAAAATAATATTTAATAATAAAAAAATGAAAACAAAACAAAACTAGAACTATATGTCTCTATTTTATTTTATTTTTATAACAATTTTGAATTCTGCCTATAATAAAATCTAAACATATCGAAATTAAATGTTGAATCAAATTTCAACCATCCACGTTTAATCAGATAAACTTCTGCGATCTCATCATTCCAAATGAGACAACATAGTTGAATTTAATTTTTGTCTTTTTTGACTCTATCACCTAAATCGTGTGTTTCGGCGAGCAAGAGAAAAGTAGAAAAACACAATGACTTTTCAATTGGTATGAGGACCCTACGAAGAAAGAGACAGCGATACATCACTTCTTCATATAAAGAGTAGTGGTAAGCCAAAGCAATAGAGAAAGAAAGAAGCCATGGACAATTTCCTGGTCCTCGCCCTAACCTCCATTCTCTTTGCATTGTTTCTCATCTACATCGCATTCATCAAACGAGCCTCCATCCTTGAATTCTCAACTTCTTTGGTTCGACCAACATCGTCTTCTTCATACAAGCTCCCACCAGGCCCTCGTCCCTACCCAGTAATTGGGAACATCCTTGAGCTCGGCTCTGACCCCCTCTCGTCCATCACGAACCTCTCCAAATCTCATGGACCCATCATGTCACTCAAGTAAGGAACAAGGATCGCCATAGTCATATCTTCTCCAGAAATAGCCGAAGAAGCTTTTCACAAACACGACCTAGACTTCTCTAGTCGAACCTTCCCTGACAGTGCTCGGGCTCTCAATCATCACCAAGTCTCCATAGCTTGGCTTCCCATTTCGCCTCAGTGGAGAGCCCTTAGACGAGCTTGTGTTATGAAAATTTTCTCAACTCTAAAACTAGACTCCACCAAGATTCTGCGTCAAAACAAGGTAGCGTTAAACTCTATATTGATTATATTATATTTGAAAGTAGCTTCATCAAAATAGCTTAGATTAGGAAAATATAAAGCTTGGGCAAGCTTTATATTTCCTAATCTATATTTTAATTTCTAGATATGGAACTTCTTTGACTTCTTTATCTCTAATAGGTAGAAGACTTAATCAATCATGTCCATGAATATTCCATTAAAGGTGAGGCTATAAATCCCACGGAGGCTTTCTTTAACACAGTTCTCAATTTAGTATCAAACATGCTTTTCTCCATAGATTTTGCTTGTCATGGTTCTGATAAGGCTCAGGAGTATAAGAAGTTGGTGATTGGGATCGTGGATGAAAACGGGAGGCCTAATGTTTCTGATATTTTTCCTACTTTGAGTTTTCTTGATCCACAAGGCATTCGTGCAAGGATGAGAGGTTATCATAAAAAGTTTTATAAGCTTTTTGATGATATTTGGGAAGAGAGATTGCATTTCAGAGGTTGAAAAATGGAGTCCAAAGAATACAATGATGTGTTGGATTCATTTCTCGATCTTATCAAAGACGATTCTCCACAATTGAGCCGTGGTGATGTCATTTATTTGTTCATAGTGAGTATTGATCATTTCCTTCCTAAATTTTTTTTGATGCTTTAGGCATCCTATACTAAAAGATAGGACAATATCCCCTCACAATTTTTTTTTTCAAGAGCAAAATTACTCTTCCGTCATAAACTCATCATCTTTGTTATCTGCTAACATGAAACAGTTGTCAAGCTCACACATAGTGATAGCAAGATATTTTGACCCCATTTTGCTGTTGTTTGGCCTCTAAAGTAAGACTAGTTCTTGCCACTGTCACTTTCAACCTCTTTGGCCCACCTCAAATGGTCAAAAGGGGTTAGAATGCCAAATTGTCACCGTGCATGGGCCTCTAAACTATTGCACATCAATTAAAAAAATAAGAAGATGATGGGTCTCTGACAGAAGGACTGTCTTGCTCCTAGAATAATTATTTATGGGAGACTTTGCGCCATCCTTCAATGTAGGGTATCTAACGCTCCTGGAAAAAAGTTTAGGAGTTAACTTTGATTCCCAAGTTTTCTTGCCATTATTCACTTTCTATATAAATTACTTATTTTAACAAAAATGGTTGAAGGTTGTTGAAAGAAATAATATCGATTTATGTAACATTTCATTACAAGATCAATATGTTAATTTAGCTTTTTATTAAGAGAAAGATAGAATAGATGAAAGTAAAGTATTTTTTTCCTTTTGCATGCTGACTTTATCACACAAAATATATTCTGGCAATAGGGAAAATTCTAGCATGGATTAGGAGTATCATCTCATTCATGATATATCTATTCAATAATGCATCAATTCAATCAAATAAAAATCATATTTATCATTATTTTTAATGTCTTTGAAATAGAGTGCCTCTTCAATTTCTTGTTTTTTCTTTCTCTAAAATCATCACAAATGAGGGGAGAAAGAAAAGTGATATAAATGAGAGATAACACGAAAGATTAAACAAATTTAATATGTCATGTTTGTGCCTTTTTGATTGTTAACTTAACTTATCATTGCTTGATATTTCAGGATTTATTTGTGGCGGGGACTGACACAACATCGAACACACTAGAATGGGCAATGGCAGAATTAATGTAAAACCCAGAGAAAATGGTGAAAGTAAGAATGGAACTTCAACATGTTCTTTGTAATAAAAATAATACTTTGAATCTTGAAAAGACTATGATCTCACAGTTGCCTTACCTACAAGTAATACTAAAAGAAACTTTACGCCTACACCCACCAGTACCATTTCTACTACCCCGCAAGGCAATTTGTGATGTAGAGTTATGTGGCTTTTTAGTGCCCAAAAACGCACAGCTTTTAGCAAATGTGTGGGCTATGGGAAGAGGCCCAACCATATGGGATAACCCTAATTCATTTATCCCTAAAAGGTTTTTAGAAAGTGAGATTGATTTTAAGGGTAATGATTGTAAGTTCATTTCATTTAGTACTGGAAGGAGGATATGTCGTGGGTTGCCCTTGGCTTCTAGGGTAATTCTCTTTATATTGGCCTCTCTTATATATCACTTTGATTGGAAGGTCGCAGATGGGCTAAAGCCAGAGGACATGTATATGAATCAAGACTATGGGATTGCATTGCACAAGACTCAACCTCTAAGAGCCGTTCCTGTCAAAAAGTAGTTGTTAACTTGTTCTTTTCATGAAGAATTAATGTTGGTAAAAGCATGTGATGCTTGATGAAATAAATAATCACTTGTACTGTTGCTGGACACGGGCTGGTCATCTAGTTTTCACCTCAATAGTCTTCAAGTCTATAATCTCCAATAAATACATTTAGAAATATTTTGGGTCATTGTAAATGGGTTCCCAACTAGAAACAACTCATACATTAAACTATAAAACCATGTACTTATCAAGTTAAACATTAATTATGCCCATTTAATTATCAAGATCTCTTTCAAGTTTGCCATAAATTTCTAACTTGAGAAGTTAATGTGTTGCTTTTTTATTTACCTGGCTCTATCAACTGCCCTAGAAAATGATTAATTGAACCAAAAAGATTTGACCGATGAGTACTATGGGTTAATTAATGAGTCACTTATATGGATTATAGTTATCAAGAGTCTAGTGTTCTATTGTATAATCTGTGTTAAAGGTGATCTGGACAAACCGCCATGTGCAGGGATCTAACAGTGAAGAAATACGGTAGCACGACCAACTAGCCAAAGAAAAGTTGTTGCCCTTTTGGGGCCATCCCACTTCCAAGCTAGTATCCATTTGCTTTTATTTTTTTATAAAAATATGGTACTTGAAATCATACAGGTCATTGAACTAGATACAGCACTTGTCGAAGAGTTAATGATTAAAATCATTGTCAAAAATTGGTCAGACTAATCATAAACAAAATATTTTATTAAATTAATTAAAATACTAGTTCAACAGTTTATTGGATTGATTCTGATTTAAATATTATGATAATAGCTAAGTTATTACACTGAAGTCTCAAGGGTTATAGGTGGGGATAGGATTTAACTTATCCATTTATCATTTGTTGCTGACTAGGTAGCATTATTTTTCTGTCTATCTAATTAATGTTGCATATGTTTCTATCAATTACATTACTTTCTCTCATTTTATAATTTTAAGGGTTTGTAAAAGTTAACATCTAATGTAAATTTCCAGTGGATTATAATTTAAAGTCATGCACATGAAGAAGTTGAAAATTAAATAGAAATAAAAATATGGGAAAATGACAATAAAATTTCTCTAAAAATATAAAAATGACAATTTGGTCCCTCGAAATGCCATGATTCTCCGGAAGTCCTTAGAAACTTTTTGTTATTAATGAATTTATATAATTATTAAAATTTTTTTATTGAAAATAGATGATTCATAAGTTTTGTTTAAATATTCATAAGTTTTCTTCTTATATTCCCAACAGTGCAACAACAAATAAAGAATTTGATATGCAAAATTGTGATTTGATGTTGTATTATTTCAAATATAAGAAGGAAAGTTATAAATATTTAAATAAAACTTGTAAATCATTTATTTTCAATAAAGGCAAGTAATTTATATAAATTCATTAATGATGGAAAAGTTCCTAAGGACTTCAAGAAAATTATAGCATTTTAAGAGATTAAATTGTTATTTATATATTTTAGAGGGATTTATTGACATTTTCCCTAAAAATATTTGGTAAGGGTAAAAGTAAAAACATTAGTACAAATATGACACTTAAATCACCTTTTCCAAGTCAATTCTTATGCATAAAATTTAAAAAATAGAGGTGATTGTATTTTTGTAAACAACTCATGGGACTAGCAAACTTTTTAAACTGATTATTATAAGAACCGTGGTCTAAAAAGTTATTTTTTAATTAATTACTTTCTCTTTTTTCAGACTGATTAGCATGGCAACCGGTGTAGTAATGTTTAAATTTTTTTGTGGTAATTAAATTCTTTGTTTTTCTAAACCGTTTGTCTTTTGTTTTGGCCTTGCTTCTTCTTATTCTTCTTCAATTCCTGGGTGCTTCGTTTCTCTGAGCTTCAATCTCTTGCATTTGTGCCTCAAGCGTAGTGTCCGTTGGTGATTCAATTAAACCATTCCCGTTTCTGTGAGCGCTTCAACCCAGGTATTGTTTTTTTTAAAATGATTAATGTTCATGATCTGGATTTTCTTGCTGGGCGTTCTTGTCTTTGTCATTTAGTTTTCTTGCCGGGTGTTCTGATTAAGGCAGAACATAATCAAGTTTTTTGATAAAAATGGTAACATGAGTACGTGTTTAAAGGTTAGCTTAGGATAGAAAATAGGAACATGATCAATTAACCATAATCACGAATTTCAGGCAGAACACTAGTGTTTGAATTTTTAGCTTAGGTTAAACAATTATAATATATGAGTGTTAGTTAAATTTGTTTGCCTTTAACTTCATGACACAAGCAAGAAGCTTGGAAAAACACTGGATTGGAGAACTCTTGACAAAGCTTGGAGAGCCACAAGAGAAAACAGCCGAGACGAAGCTCTTCATGATGATGCTGAGATCGAGACAAATCTTAGAGAACAACGAGATCAAGAACGCATAGTGAATCTTGAAGAATGGCGAGATCAAGATCGAGAACCACACACGATTAAGCAGCCTTGAGGTGTCAATGGAGAACAAGGAGAAGATGAGCTTCGGCGGAAAACAAAAAAGAGGGAGCTTTTTATCTAAAAAGTGTGCAGAGCTTTTTATATTTTAAAAAAAATTAATAATTGATGATTCAGATAGGCTTCAGCCATAAAAGAGACAATACCTGTTGGGGGGGGGGGGGGGAAGCTTCACCTGAAGTTCGAGATTCAAAGCTCTGCAAGCACAGAGCCCAAAAATAAAGCCATCTAGCTCCATAAGCCAAATGACTTACACGGCTTTATGAACAGTAAAATGAGTCTGGAGCCATCAATCATTGCACTATGGCTTGGTGGAACTCTTTTATAGGATATATTGATATTGATTGCTACTTTTTAAGAGCTTTAGAAAGCGGAAACAAGTTTATGCGGATGCCTATGCGTGGACATGACCAAGGCCGTGTAAAAAAGTTTTGAAACCAAAGATAATTTATTTAAAAGACCTAATGTATTATTATATATATATCTTCAAATTTTTTTAGTTTTTTAAACTATAAAATCATATATTAATTTTTTATAATTAAATAATTCTAACATTTCACTTCCAATAAATAACATAGTTAATCTATGTAATCTATTTTATAATATGGCTAATTGTAAATAAAATTTAAATAATTTTAATTTTAAAAATTTTCTCTCAATTGTAGCAATAATTATTGGTTTTGTCAATAATATTTTATAAGTAACAAAAAAAAAAATAATGACATGAACAGAGAGAATGATAGTGTGCAACACGTCTATGGGCGACCGTGGACAAAAGTGTCAGCCCATCCCACTCGTTCTATGGGCGAACGTGGACAAAA